TTTTCTAGCGGCTATGTTTCCTTTTATTGCAAGTGGATTCTTATTTGGTATTTATCTTGTTATATTACTTGTTTCAAAAGAATATATAACATTTGTTTTAAATATTTATTTTTTTATTATTGGAATTATTGCACTTTTTCGTGCTATACAACCTATTTCTACACGAATACGTTTACCATTATTTGATAAACTTCGTGAAAGACAATTTCATTTAAAAATATCTGAAAATAATTCTTCAAATAATAATAATAATAATAATATAATGCATATTGATTTTAAATTTAATTTTATGGATATTATGGCATTATTTTTTTGTATTCTAATTGGTGTTTGGTATTTATTGAAACGTCATTGGATAAGTAATAACATATTTGGTATTGCTTTTTCAATAAATGCAATTGAAATTCTTCATTTTAATAAGTAATTATTAAAGATTGAATGTATTTTAAAATATTGTTTTTTTTTAATCTAGAGTTTTTAATGGATGTATTTTACTTGGTGGTTTATTCATCTATGATATCTTTTGGGTTTTTGGTACAAATGGTAATGATAAATTTCTATTTTTTTGTTTTTTGATAAATTAATTTTGTTTTTTTTTTGTTTGTTTTAAGTTATGATCACAGTAGCAAAATCATTTGATGCACCGATTAAATTGGTTTTTCCTCAAGATTTAATTGAAAATGGAATATTTGCTGCAAATAAATTTGCTATGCTTGGACTTGGTATGTGTTAAATAATAATCAAAAATCAAAAAAAAAAGAAATGAAATAATTTGTTCTATTTATGTGTTTAGGTGATATTGTTGTTCCTGGTGCATTTATTGCTTTAATGCTTCGATATGATATGACACGTAAATCAACATCAAAACTTTATTTTACTGTTTCATTTCTAGCTTATATTATTGCATTACTAATAACAATTCTTATACTTCAAATATTTAAACATGGTCAACCAGCTTTACTTTATATTGTACCACTTTGTGTTGGTTTTCCATTATTAACAGCATTGATTTGTAAAGATTGGACAACAATGTTTGCTTATGAAGATCATCCATCAACGAATGAAATAGATGAAAAGAAAAAAGAATAAAAAACAAAAAAAATGTTTGTTTTAGTATCTACTTATTGTTATTGTATTTTATTTCAGTAGAAAAAACATCATATAAAATATCTTTAATTGTTTTTATTTATATTAATGTTGTGCAATACAATGAATCCAAAAAATGATTTGTCTATTCGATTTTATTTTATTTTTTATTGCATTAAAACAAGAAAAAAATTAAAAATCAAAATTTATACATTTAGGTTATTAAAAAATTTCTATTAAATAACATCATGTCAAGATTTGTTGTTTATTTCATATTGTGTAATAATAGAAAAATAGAATTTATCAATGGACAAATCATTTTTTTTTTCTTTTAATTCATTGTATGTTTATATATGAAAAAGAACATCTATTGATTGATATTGTTTGTTTTGTTTTATTTAAATATATTTCAATATGTAATCGAATTTACATTTTACTATCAACAAAAA